CCAAACAGGCCCGGATCTAGGCAACTCGAGGCCCTGTGCTACTGATCGGCAGGACCCCCCCCCTCCCCCCCAACCCCCTTTTTCCGGCATGACACCCCCCCCCCCCCCCCCCTCCAATAGCCTTATCCTTCCAAAAATAAATAAATAAAAAAGAAACATATTCGATTGTTGCTGTTGTCGTTGTTGTTGTTATTGTTGTTGCTGCTGCTACTACTTCTGCCGCTGCCGCTGATAGTTGCGCCTATCATGTCATAAATGAACGAATCTTCTTACCCTAAAATATTAAACTACAAAGGCTTTTGGGGTTTTGTTGTTGTTGTTGTTGTTGCTGTTGTTGTTGGTGGTTTTTTGGGGGTTTTTTTACTGCAAAGGCCTCAATGATGTCATTGAAATTCAGTTTCCTTAGTTTGTCTGACTCAATGCTCAGGAAGCTGAGATCTGACAACCTCCCCTGGGCCATTGTAGATCTTGCTTCATTCTTTATTCTTTTCAGTCTTGAAAATGATCTCTCGCCATTACAGTTTGTCACCATCAGGGTAAGAAATAGTCTGAGGGTGGTCTCGACGTTGAGAAAAACTGCTTGAATTTTGCCTTTTTATGAGCATGTTTCCCTTTCTTGGTAGCTATGTTTTCCTTTTCCAGGATGTATTTGTTTCAGGCATATCTGAAGTACACAGGCTAACCCGCAAGGTTGAGGTCTACATCATTTGGGTATTGTGCAGTCAGTTTTTTTAAAAACATTTTCTTGAATTTTCATTCTGCTTGTCTAGTTCTTGCAAGAATGAAAATTGTCCTGACACTTCTTTGTATACAGTTGCTTCTTTCTTCTTCTTCTCGATCGCATCACACTTGAAGTCTGGTATCTGTCATAAAATGGGGGTTCCTGCTCAGTGCTCAGTTCATCTGTCGACCCGTATCGCTTCTCTTGTAGTGTCAGTGGGGTTGGCCACGTTTCCTGTCTCAGGGCCCTGTGTGTCTTGCAGTGCTGAAGGATGTGTTCAACAGTTCGGTCCTCCTCTTCACACTGGCAATTTGGTGATTGTGCTAGTTTAAAACATCTGTGCATAATTATTATATTGTCTCAGTCTTGTGTTATACCGTTGCTCTTTTCATTAGATTGGTTGAGAGAGCGTCTTATTGTTGTAAAGAAAGATTTTACTTCGAACCTTTCCCTTGCTGGCATGTTGTCTAGTGCGTTGGGAGAAGGACCATCACTCGCATGTGTTTTTCTTTTTCTTCGTGGGGTTTTGTAGTCAACACCTGGCAATGCTCGCTGTGCATTTTGCTTAATTTCGTCAAAGTTGTCCCGAGTTGTTGAGAGAAAGTCTTGCAGAAAAGTATAAAGATTGGCACAAGTATTCAACGTCAGCTCAGGATTCAGCAATGTCTTGCTGACTTTGTGGAAACGTTCAAGCAGAATTGTCCAAAGATGTAGCATGAAGACAAATTCCCATTTTATTCTTCCATCTTTTGAAGCAGAATTCCGGCTTTTCGTCTGGTACCACCCTTATCATTGGTATCATCTTGAATGCTTTGCAAAGTCTCTATTAGTTGAGGGTAGCTATCCTTAACTGCAGAAGTAGCTTTTGAATGAGCCTCACACCTAGTGTCAGACAAATGTTGGACGACTCTTGACTCTGGTGATAAGAAGCGTTTCAGAGTGGTCCACCGTTTTGTTGAAGCAAAGAAGAAACCATATAATTTGTTTACGATCCCAGAGAAATTAAATGCTTCCAAGCATGAATTAACAGCGGCATGCCCTATAAGGTTAAGAGAATGGCTGGCTCATTGAATGAATTTTGCAAATTTGTTTTTTTGGGGCCAAAATTCTTTGTTGGACTCCAATACTTGCCAGTCATATTGGTTGCGTTGTTGTATGACTGACCTCTACATTTACTTAAATCGATTCCAATTTCAGAAAAATAATTAAGAATCAGCTCTTATATTCCATTCCCCGTGTGGTCTTGAAGTTTAGAAAAATGTAAAAACTTTTCGGTAGGAGTCCCATCCACAGGAAATACAAATCTAACGATGAGAATGATTGGTCAACATATGAAACATCGGGTGTCGAGTCCACTGACATACTGAAGAACCCAGCTAGTTTGATATAATTGATAATCGAACTTCTAACTTTATCAGCCATCAGTTGTATTATTTCCTTACAATGTGTTTTTGACAAATAAGATGTTTGGCCAGACCCTCTGTTGCCATGCTGCTTGCTGTGCTCATGTAGAAACGGGTCAAACTTGGTAATAATTGAGCTCTAACAATCCCATGAAATGTTCATTATTTGGTGAACAAAAAGCTCTGACTTACATCTAGATCTAGATCTACCCTTTATTTAATCAAATGCATCGCTTTGCCTTTTTTCTAGTCGCGATGCGACCTATCGGTGCTGAAACCATGTTATCCCAACCTACCTTACCCGTAGAATCTTGATTCTAGATCTAAGTTACAGTGCCTTTGGTTACAGAACAAAAAGATGCAATAGTCTAGTACATCGATGAAGGAGGATAGTCCTGGACTAGATTTAGATGGAACGGCTTTGCTCCAACCCAGCATTTGGCAGGAAAAACGTGTTTACTTCGGATGTTGCCAGATACTCATTTTAGGGGAAAAAATTATTATTTTCAGTTTTAATTAAAAAGAATAGTCTTCAGCTACATTTCGTTTATTGCATGCTGTTTCTTCTTTTAACAATTTTTATGCCTGTTACTTGATACCTTCCCCGACTCGAGGCCCGCTTGGTCATAGTTTCCCCTTGGCTCCGAGGCGCTGTGCATAAGCACGCCAAGCACATGCCTAAATCCGGGCCTGACCCCAACCATGCATGCAGATGAGCTTGAGCACTTTCAGAGATATCTGAAACAAATACATCCTGAAAAAAGGAAAACATGGCTACCAAGAAATGTATAACGTGCTCACAAAAGACAACATTCAAGCAGTTTTCCCCAACGTCGAGATCACCCTCAGACTATTTTTTACCCTGATGGTGACAAACTGTAGAAGAGAGACATAATTTTCAATACTGAAAAGAATGAAGAATGAAGCAAGATCTACAATGGCCCAGGGAAGGTTGTCGGATCTCAGCATCCTGAGCATTGAGTCAGGCAAACTCAGGAAACTGGATTTCAGTGACATCATTGAGGCCTTCGCAGCAAAAAAAAAAGTCGGGGAAAAGCCTTCGTTGTTTAATATTTTAGGGTAAGATTTGTTCATTTACGAAATGATATGCGCAACTATCAGCGGCAGCAGCAGCAACAACAACAACAACGACAAGCGAATTTGTTTTTTCTTATTTATCTTTCTTTTTTTTTTGGAAGGATGGAAGGATAAGTCGGGTTTTTTTTTGGGGGGGTGGGGGTTGGGGGGGGGGGGGGTGATGGAAAAATTGGGGGTTCCAGCCGATCAGTGGCACGCACCTGGCCTCGAGTTACCAAATAAATCCGGGCCTGTGTCACATAGGAATTTGCTTCTACTTTTAGTCCAACCAGAGCCCTCGAGGCAGTCTCGGGACGGGCAGTGAACGGGTTAATGTTCGTTGAAATGTTTTGTTTGTTTTGCTATATCTCTGAACCATACATCAATACAGCCAAAATACTAAAAATTTATATAATTTTTCATTTCGTCTTCAATGAAATGATCTTTGACTTTCAAATAGTTTTTAATTATTGTACAAAAGCGATCCGTACATTTCTAAGTCTTTGTGGACGTCGTCAAGGCAGTCAGTTTTGGATATAATGCTGCCCAGGTACTTTTAATTTACTTCTTTCTGCCAGGGATTGTCCATAAAGAGTGGTGGGCGTAGTTTCTGATCATAGTCGTAGTACTTCTTTTAGATACATTTATTATAAAGACAACTTTTCCCTCTACTATTGCTCGTTTGTCTGTTTTTTTGAAAATTGCATTTCTTGTACTGTGGTAAAGGCAGATATGTCATCCGCAAAATTTAGATCTCCTTAATAATAATAAGTGCCATTGTCCATCCAATGCCTTACAATTCCCAAAAGTCCAGGTGATAACATACAGTACAGGCTAATATACAGCCTTGTGTAACACCAGTATTTACTTCAAAAGGTGTAGATAGTTCTCCTTCAACTTGGACACAACAGCTTGCATTGCCATATGACGATCTTATACAGTTTATTTTGTGTCTTGGGATTTCATAAATTGCAAGAGTTTTCCACGGTGCCTCTCGGTCTTTGCTGTCAAATGCATTTTTTTAGTCCACAAAGTTCAAGATAATGGACATTCCATTCTTTATTTTGTTCTATGACATTTCTCAGAACAAACAGTTGATCTGCACATGTTCTCCCTTGTCAAAAACCCGCCCTGTTCCCCTCTTATAGTCTCTCATCTATATTTTTATTTTTTTTAAATATTGCTGTTCTCGATATCTATTCCTCTCCATTTGCTACAGTCTTGTAAGTCACCTTTAGGCCTATTGGGTAGTTTTATTATATTTCCCTTTCTCCATTCCAAGGACGAGTTTTCTTTTTCAAGAATTTCGTTAAATCTGTAACCTTCTCTTCCAATCGTTTTAAGCAGCGGTTCTATCTTCTCTTGACTTTTATTACCGGGTAGGCCTTCTTTTCATTTTCATGTTCAATTCCTCCATTGGTTGTACTCTGTCAAAATTGAATTTATTTGGTGGGGGTGGTCTGTTTTAGAATCTCTTGAAAGTGTCTCACCCATGTGTCCTTTTTTGTCTTCTTTCTTTTCTGTTGGTCCCTCTGATGATTTTCCAAAATCTCAAGATAGTCTTTTTGTATGTGGTATAATTCTCGCATGTCGTTTCTGTTTTGCCTCTTCTTGGGCTTTAACAGCTTTTTTAAAAATGTATTCTTTTTTTTCTTCTCTCGCCTTTCTTTGACTTAACCCCCTTGTCTTGTTGTAGCCTATATTATGGTTGTTAGAAATTGCCTTTTTGTCACGTGATAGGTGATCATGTGACTGTGCTTCAAAAAAGCAAAACAACCGGAACATCAATGCAGCAGTGTGGTGGTTATGTAAGTTGTAAACGACATCGTTCAGTGTTTCATGGTCCATGACAGTGACAGCATGTCAATGTTATAATTCACGTGAGTCGAGTTTGTTTTTATGTGGGGGGAGGGGGGGGGGTATAAGCAGAAGTAATGTAGATCTAGAGAATGATCTAGATTATAGATCTAGAAATCTAGAATCTAGTTTAGTATTCTAGCATCGGCATGAGAGGTGAAACTGAAACGAAGGCTTATATTTATATCATATATATAGATCTATGTCACTATTGATGATTGGCTGCAGGAAGGCTGTCCGAAGGCAAGATTTTAAATCTGTAGGCTCTACTAATCTATCTAGAGATTCTAGATCTAAATCTAGATCTAGATTAGATAATCTAGATTCTAGATCTACAATCTGGATAATCTAGATTGAAGAGGCTAGCTGTACACTAATAAATATGACGGCTAGACTTAGACTGCTACAGCTGGCTGAGTTGGGCTAGCCCTACTAACCTACTTTAAATTCTGAAGGCCACCTCTATTCAATAGCGCAGGCGAGTCTTTTGGCTATGGCCACCTCTATTCTCCCCCCGGGGTAGAATAGCACAGGCGAGTCTTTTGCTTTTGGCTATTCTCACGCTGTGTGCGTTCACTGTTATAGCCTAGATCGAGGCCAACCAATTTTGCGTTCACTCTGAACCACAGAATTCTACACTGTGATAAAAAAACAAAATGGTGACCCACGTAGTTCGGCTCGATTCGAAAAGGTAAATAGCCGTAGCATCTTTGTAGACGACCAAATTAATTTACTTTTGTGTTTTAACATCATTTTTTAACTTTATTTTCACATTTTGGTCAATTTGATCGTCCACACCGATAGACAGTAATCAGAAAGAGACAGAGAGAGAGAAGAGCGAGGAGTAGATCTTACGAGAACTTTCGGGCAAAACAAAAAGGCGACCCGCGTAGATCGGCTCGATTCGAAAAGTGAAATAGCCATAGCATCTTTGTAGACGATCAAATTAGCTTACTTTTCGCTATATATAACGTAATTTTTTCTATGCTTTTATAATCCATTTGATCATCCACACTGATAGAAAGTATTCCAAAATTAGGAAAAACAGGTCTTGCTTCACACCGGGTGAGAATAGCGAATGGTGGCAAGTCTCACCCGCAGTGAGAGGTCGATAGTATTTTTATTCTCACCCCGGGTGAGGATAGCCACTTCCTTTGGCTATTCTCACCCGGTGTGCGTTCACCGTAGCCTAGGCCAACCAGTGTAGCGTTCACCCCTGAACCACAGAATTCTACACTGTGAATGTGAACAGAATTGCAGAATTCTGTGCTGTGAACAAACGTTCCATTAAGTCTGTGGGCAGTGGAGAGAGAGAGAGAGAAAAGGAGAGAGAGAGAGTAGTGCGCGAACTTCCGGGCAAAACAAAATGGTGACTCGTGTAGTTCGGCTCTATTCGAAAAGTGAAATAGCCATAGCATCTTTGTAGATGATCAAATTAGCTTACTTTTGTGCTAGATCTATATATAACGTAATTTTTTCTTGGCTTTTTAAAATCAATTTGATCATCCACATCGATAGACAGGGGAAGATTGAAGAATACCGGACCACTCGTACATTATTGCGCGAGAAAGTGGGGTAAGTGGGGAGGGTGGTTGGGGTGGAGGAGAGGGGGAAGGGGTCAGGGGGGGTCTCCCCCCTGACAAAATTTTAATGAATAGATCTACCGGTCTGAGATTCTCCATCGAGAGATATTAAAAACGGGAAAATTATGAATTCCTATGGTTGAGACATAGGCAAAGTCAGTCCGCTGGTCCTGTATTCTTCAATCTTACCATAGACAATATTCCGAAATGAGGAAAAACAGGTCTTGTTTCACACCGCGGGTGAGGATACCCACTTCCTATTCTTAATAATTTATGATGGCTAGACTGACCATAAAAAATGGCCTACTGAATTGTAAATGAATTTTTTAGCTTGCAGTACCTAAAGTTGTATTTGATACGAAAGCAGGTGCCTTAATGACGGTATTTAAACCTCCTGTTTTCTAATGTTAATAGGGCCTAAGATAAGTACGGCTAGACTGGGAGGCTAGCCGTACTAGACTGTCAGGCTAGCTGTACTTTTATGGCTGAATTGAAAATGAAATTTTTAGTTTGCAAAGCCTAAAGTATTTGTATTTCAGACAAAACCAAAAGGTGCCTCAGATAAGTACTTAAGTATGGCTAGCCACTTTGAATCTAGACCCTAGATCTAAATCTAGATCCGTGGTCTATAATTCGCTGTGATTACTAGATCTAGACGAGCCTGAGTCACGTGAAATAAGTGAACAAACTCAGTGTAGCCTGGTGAGTGTGAGAGAATAAGGGAGCACGGGGGATATATAAACAGACACGAAGGTTGAACCGGCCTTCTGAGCCACGACTTAAATCTAGGCTGAGCAGGGATCGATGCTACTGGTGGGTCGACGCAGTGGATGGAGCTCCGGACCTGTATAACCCACACACATCGTTCCCCGCTCGAAACAGTGAGTATTGAAAACAACGTAGATAGACTCTAACGAGTAGAATCTGGGGTTAGATAGCACTTATCTTCACATTACAAACTATTTCGGCTTTCATTTGACGTGTGGTGTGGGGGCCAGGAGGGATCGTGATCGTTAAGACCTTAGGCTAAGCTAGGCCTAGATTTAGGTCTATTAATTCTAGTTGCTGTAGTCCAGATCTAGGGTTTTGCGGTAATGACAAGCATGTCAAAAATGACGATGGGCCCGAGTATCAAGTTTGATGTGCTCAAACCGTTTGCTGGGGAGGGGGACGTTGAGGCTTGGTTGCAGAAGGCGGAATTGATGGCAAAACTGACCCACACTGAAGACATGGCCAGTTTTATCCCATTGTACCTCTAGGGGGGAGCTCTAACTGTGTATCTAGAGATGAGCGAAGAAGAGAAGGGGAGCGTAAAGCTCATCAAGAAGAACTTGAAGGAAGTGTTTTGCGACAACCAATTCGTTGGTTGGCAAAACTACGTGAGACGAGGTGGACCGGGGAACCGGTGGACGTATACGCCAATGAGTTGCGAAGGGTAGGCAGGACTTGTGGGTTTTCAGGAGAGGGGCTGGAGCAGCTGGTGAAATTGGCTTTAGTCACCGGCTTTTCAGACAGCATAGCCTTGGAACTGCAACAGGTGGTATGGGTGGAGTCGATGACAGTTGCAGACATTGGTAGAGCTAGGGTCCTGGCAGCGAACAAGGGAGCAGTAGTGGGTGGGGGGCTTGCAGCAGCAGCGGTAGATCAGGCAAGGGGAAACAAAAAATCTGGGGGGCGGGGGATGATGCAGCAGGTGAAGTGTTTCATTTGTGAGGGGGGACATTTTGCTAGAGAGTGCCCAGAGAAGTTAAGCAAGAAAAGGTCACTCGTGTGCTACAGGTGTGGTGGGGAAGGGCATATTGCGGCATACTGTAAGCATGCTGGTAAAGGTAGTCATGGGGGAGGAAGCACGAGGCCTGGGAGTGATGCAGTGTGCGTTACAGGAGTAAAAGGGGTCCCAATGATCACAGTCACCATGCAAGGTCACAGTCGACACGCATTGATAGACACAGGGTGTTTGAACACCATGATCAGGGCTGGGTTGGTCGATAGATGGACCAGAGATGCGGTGCAAGCATCGGCATTTGATGGAAGAACCGTTGAATGCATGTGGATGGCGCAGATTGAGATGGAGGTAGATGGCGAAAAAGTCAGTACGAGGGCAACTGTGATTGATCACATAGTCGAGGGCATAGATGTGCTGATTGGCATGGATGTAATTGGACAGCTAGGATGGGGTGACAGTGGGGCTACACAAGATCCAGTTTAGAAAACGGATGGCGTGTTTGGTTGTAGGGGTGCCAGCAGGGGAACAAACATGTCAAAGGGGAGAACTGGTCATTCATGATTAGGATTTCGATGCAAAGTTCGATGGTAAAGTATGGACGGTCAAGTATTTCTGGAAAAGGGCAGGCCAGGGGACACCGGATTTGAAAAGTAGAGTCGCACTCTATGACAGGGGCTTAGACGGGGCAAGACTGGAGAAATTTGAGCAAGAAGTTGAGCAGTGGATTAAGGAGGGGATCCTCGTTCCTTGGGAAGGAGATGCAGGGGGAGTTATCCCACTTTTGGCTGTGGAACAACCCACGAAGAACAAAGTCAGGCCAGTGTTAGACTTTCGGGAACTCAAACGAACAGGTGGAATGCCACACGGGGGACGAGCTAATCGATGTCTGTGGGGACACTCTTCGTGAGTGGAGAAGGGTTAGTGGAGAGACTCAAATCGTGGATTTGAAGGCGGCCTACCTGCAAATTTGGGTGAGCCCAGAGCTTTTGGAAATTTCAACTGGTGCGATTCAAGGGCCGAACCTACTGTTTGACGAGGTTGGGGTTTGGATTGAACTCTGCACCTCACATCGTGACAAAGGTGCTGAAGGCAGTGCTTAGCCAGTCCCAGAAGATCCAAAAGGCCACAAGCTTGTATATCGACGATATACTGGTGGACGTGTCCATGGTGAACGCCGAGGATGTAATTTTACACTTGGAGTCAATGGGCTGTAAGCTAAACCCGCAGTACTGTTGGAGGGTGGGTAGGCCCTCGGTTTGAAGTTGACGAGGGATGAGAACGGGTCACTGGTGTTCGGGTGGAACACAGAGGTACCAAAGGTGGACAGAAAGCTGAGTAGACGGGAACTGTTCTCAATTTGTGGGAAGTTGGTGGGGCACTACCCAGTAGCTGGATGGCTACGCCTGGCTTGCAGCTTTGTGAAGCGTCAGGTCGAGGGAACCGGTTGGGACTACTATGTTGGGGACAGGGGACCGTCAGTGATGGAGGACATTGTGAAGCAAGTGGCACAGGTGGGAGGAAAGTGGAAAGTGGACCGATCCAAAGAGGGTGTCGTATGGTGCGATTCAAGCAAAATCGCGATGGGACTGATAGTAGAAATTGGCGACGTGCTGGTGGAGGATGTGCAAAAGTGGGGATTTTCATCACATTAACGTGGCCGAGCTAGAGACAGTGCTAAAGGGGATTAATTTGGGGTTCAAGTGGGGGCTGCAGAGGATGGTGGTTCTGACAGACTCTGCAACCGTATGCAGGTTGATCAAGATGATGCTGTCGGAGGAAAGGAGGATCAAGACGAGCGGTGCTGCAGAGAGCTTGATCAAACGGAGGTTGATGACGCTGAAGGCCTTGGTTGAGGAGCTAGGACTTGCAGAAGACGTTAGGCTTTTGGCGTCGAGGGACAACAAGGTCGATAAATTGACCAGTCCCCAGGTCATGGATAAGGACTGGCAACGAGTGCAACAGTTCGGTTACATGTGTCTCAGCGTCCGTAGTGAAGCAACTGCACGATAAACACCACGTGGGCGTCGAGAGGTCATGGTACCTGGCAAAGAAGGTGGATCCGCAGATCACCAAGGAGCAGGTGAAGCGGGTAGTGCAGAACTGCGAGAGATGTAGTAGGATAGACCCAGCTCCTGGAGTCCACGATGTTGGAGAATTGGGGGTTTGCGGGATCTGGGAATTGACATTACGCACTACCGTGGTGTCCCATTCCTGACCATGGTGGATTGTGGACCTGGTCGATTTGTGATCTGGCGACGGTTGAGAGGTGAAACTGCTCAACACATCATTGACGAGTTGAGGCAAGTGTTCCACGAGAGGGGGCCGGTGGGGGAGGTTCTGCTCGATAATGCCACGGTCTTTAGGTCAGAGGAATTCGTGGGGTTCTTGCGGGACTGGAACGTGAACGCAATGTTCAGGGCAACATATAGGCCTAGTGGAAACGGGATAGTCGAGAGAAATCATCGCACTATCACGGCTATGGCAGAGAGGGGGAACATCTCACCATTGAAAGCAGTGTATTACTATAATTGCTCTCTCAGGCGTGAGCAGCACGAAGACTCGATTCCGCACAAGTCGGTTATGACATATGAGTGGAGGCAGCCTGATGAGGCACCCGTAGAACCAGAGTGTGGAAACTCAGTCCCAACGGCCTCGTTTAGTGTTGGCGAGGAAGTTTGGATCAAGCCGGGTAATGCAATTATGCAAAATGCACATCGGAGTGGGGCCATGGGGTTGTCACGAAGGTGAACTCCGCGAACAACGTAGAGGTTGATCGTATGCCGCAGCATGTCTTAGACCGTAGACCTATCAGGGGTGTGGGGGGATGACGCTTCAAACGAAGGTGAACGGGGTGGTGAACCAGAAGAGCGCCGAGAGATTGACAGGCGTTTCCCGCACGGGCAAGGAGGGCCCCGTTGTGGAATGACGATTATGTCCTGGGATAACCGTAACGCGGAGGGGTGAATGGGG